GCGGGTCCTCGTCGGTCTGGCAGCCCACGGATCTCACAGTGTGGGGTGCAGAGGTGGGAGGGGCAGAGCCCTGCACACCCTCCTCTGGGGGCGCCTCCCCTGCACTCCAGACTCCAGGAGAATCACGGGTGGGTGCAGAGGGTCCCAGGGGGCAGGGGGAGGGCAGGCTGGGCAGGGGAGAAGAGCTGCTGGAGGAGGCGTCTTTGTGATGCCGGAGCAAAGGGACAGGAGAAGCCAGAGCAGAGGTGGTTCTTCGCAGGGGGATGGGGGAGCCAGGAGGGAAGACGACCTGGGGAGGAGATGGGGAGAGATGAGGAAGACCAAGAATCAGCAGCTCAGGAGCAGCGAGGGCAGAGGGGGCAGAGGAGGAAGAGGTGTCATCCCCAGGCCCCCAGGGGCCTTCCCACTCTGGCACCAAGAGCGAGGCCAGCCCTACAAGGCCGTGGGCCGTGAGCACCACCCTGCCAGCCCACGTCTCCCTCCTGCTGGCACTGAGCCAGGGAAGAGTCCAGGCCCCGTGCCCTGCCCTCGCCACCTCCTTGCTACCTTCTCTACCAGCTGCCCCCCAGCCCGCCTCCCGCGTGGCTGCACGGTGATGACGACGCCCTCTGTCAGCCAGTCCTGGGCGGAGGCCTCTGCCGGCCCCGCGGCCTCCTCCGCCTCCGGCTGGATGCCCAGCCGACCCTGCAGCTCTGCGATGAGCCGCTCCTGGGATGGGGTCCTGCTCAGGGTGGCGGGGTCCAGCCGGCGGCGAGGGGAGGGCTCCCGGGACATGGGGTGCGCGTGGCCCGTCTCCCGGCTCCTCCTGATCACGGAGCGGATCTGGGGGGGAGGGGGAAGCCGTCAGAGTCCCACTCGGGGCTCGGGGTGAAGTGCTCAGTCCACACTTGGGTGCCGGGGGAGGTTAGGGCAGAAGGAAACCGCCAGAGAAGAGCAAGCCAAGTGGGGTGTGGGGGGAGCAGAGGGGCAGAGACCCTGCCCTGGGGCTCACCTCCGAGTGGGCCCTGACCTTAGGGGCCTCAGCTTCTCCATCCTTAAAACGGGGCAGCAGTATTTTCTCTACCACCTCATAGGGTTATTAGAAAAATTATCTGAAGGTAAGTGGGAGCTCTTCCCAGAGCACAAGGCTTTCTCTTTCTCTCTTTTCTTGATTTACAATAGAAATATGTGGTCGGGCCAGCACTGGCATAGTGGTTAAGGTGCTAGACTCTCACATGGTCGACTGGGGTTTGAGTCCCAAACCCAGCAGCTTGAAAGACACACCGGGCACGTGTGTGTGCGTGCCCAAGATCCCAGGAGGAGAGTGGAGGAGGGATTGTGCTGCGGCCATCCCCCTGCCGGGTGATTTCTCACTTTCCTTCTCACAGTCTCTGTCTCTCTCAGGGAAGCGCATATAGCCTATGACAAAAACCTCTAACAAAATAAATAATGAAAATGGGGCCAGCAGGTGGTGTGGTGGTTAAGGGCGCTGGACTCTTGCATGGTCGACCATGGTTCAAATCCCGGATCTGGTGGCTTACTTTCTCACTTTCTCTCTCTCTCTTACTCTGTCCCTCTCTGGTCAAATTAAAATAAATAAAGTTAAGTAAAATAATTCTTTTAAATAAATAAATTAATTTAAAAATATATATATGTGGTCTTTCCTTCCAGCAAATGTTTGACCAGTTGTTTTTATCTTACTTATAATACTACGTCACATTATATTCCATCATATTATATTGTTTGTAGTGGTTTTGGTTTTTTATTGTTTTCTTTGGGGAAAGGACATAAAGTTTTTAAAGAAGAAACAGGTGACAGTAATGTCAGCCATGGCTGCCAAGAGAACACACGCTGTGTTTGAAGCCCCTTCCGGGAATGAGCTTCTCTGAGCCCCTGGGCGCTTCTCTGAGCCCCTGGGCGACCTTGGCAGAAAATGATCTATTGCTGGGACCAGCAGGTGGCGTAATGGTTACGTCGCTGGACTCCCACAGAGTTGACCACAGTTTGAGTCCTGGATTTGGTGGCTTAAAACTCACACTGGGTACGTGTGCGTGCGTGTGCGTGTCCAAAATCCTGAGAGGAGAATGGAGGAGAAGGGATTGCGGTGTGGCCATCCCCCCTGGGGGGTGATTTCTCACTTTCTATCTCTCTCTGTCTCTCCAGTGAGCACATGTGCCTTATAGCAAAAATCTCTGTAAGAAAGAAAGAAAGGAAGGAAGGAAGGAAGGAAGGAAGGAAGGAAGGAAGGAAGGAAGGAAGGAAAGAAAGAAGAAAATGGCCTGTTATTACCCCTATTTTGAAGATGAGGAAACTGAGGCTGGTGGCAGGGGGGGCTGCCTGAGGTCACAGAGAGCAGGTGTAGAAAGTGTGGTCTGATTCCAGGATGACCTGGTCCCAAAGTCCACGCCTTTAACCATTCCATCCAAAGGGAAAAGCCTTTGAGGGACAGAGGTGGGTTGTTGCTACAGGAAATGCCAGGGTCTGGGAGCTCTGCTGACCCCACTGGGCCCACTGGTGAGAGCTGGCCGTTGGGGCTGCAGGCCACGGGATGCCGGTGCTCTCTGCCCAAGCAGGCATGCGCGGGGCGGGAGGCTGCATGCAGTCAGCGGGGAGCAGCCCACACTCAGCCCCGACAAGAGCCATGCCTAGCGGTCGTGCAAGCCGGAGCCTGCCTGGCCGGAGGTGGAAATCCTCTCTGTGGTGCTGGCCGTGCCCATGGCCGTGGCATATGGCAGCTCCGGTGGTTCCTTCCTGGCCTCGGTCGCAGCTGCAGTGGTGCCCTCTGGGCTCGGTGGGGTCTCAGGTCCCTGGACTGGCCCCCGTGGGCTCCCCTTCCTGGGCACCTCTGCACCCAGCTGCTCCTTGTCAGCTGGGGCCAGGCCTTCCAGCCCCCCTGGCTCTGGTCTTGTCCTCTCTTCCTGCTGGCCATGTCCCTCTGTGAGGCTCCAGGTATCTGGGAAGATGGCCTGGCGGTCCACAGCCACGACAGCCGGCTCAGTGACTTCCTGAAAGCCGCGAGCAGCTCCCTGAGAAGCCTCAGGCCTGAGGGCCTCCAGGGCCCACGGCTGCTCCCACATGGCAGCCATGGCCTCCTCTGGGAGCAAAGGGCTGGCTGCTGGCCCCAGAGGGTCTCCAGAATCCTGGGAACCTGCATTGCCAGCACCGGATAGAGGGTGGCAGGGGGAGGCCCTGGAGGGTTCACTTGTGGGGCTCAGTGGGTCCCTCCAATCTCGAGCCCGGCTCCCTGTACCAAATGACCCTGGGGAACCCTCCATAGAGGGAGCTCCTGAGTCACAAGGGCCAGGTGTCACCTTAAGGCCAGATAAATCAAGCCAGGTGGGGGCCACAGGGGGCAGAAGACCCTGTCCGTTTTCCTCAGTGCAGAGGGCCTCGCCTAGAGGGGAGAACTCAGTGGTGGCTGGCAGGGATACAGACAGAATGGGAGGGGGAGGAGGGGGGGAAGGGGGAGGTGGTGGGCACGGGGCTGGGCTGGGCAGCAGCCCCAGGGGGCCAGGGGCCACAGCAGAGGAGCTGGTCTGGAGGAGGAGAGAGACAAAGGCGGGAAGAGGAGAGAGAGAGATGGGGAGAGGTGAGGAAGGAAGCTCACTGCCAGGGGGTGCTCCACCTCTGAGTCGGGCTCTCAGAGCCAGAGCCACGGGCTACACTCTCCCGGGACTGCACAGCTGAGATACAGGGCTAAACTTGGAGGAAGATCCAGATCACCCTCCCCCGCACCACCAAAGAAAAGGCTTTTCTGGTCTCCATGTCCTGGACCTTCCTGAAACCCAGGCCAAGGAAAACAGCCACTGAGCCACACTCGCAGGGGCTCCCAGAGCAGATACGAGGGAGAAAGGACCCGGCAGAGGTGGGCAACAGGGAGATGGTGACCAGGGAGAGAGTGCCACCTCAGGTGCCAGCCCAGCACACGCTGTGTCCCTCCAGGACAGTCTGAGCCCTCCTGCATCGCGAGTCCTTGCTCCACGCCTACAGCCAGGGCAGCTCCTCTTCTCGGGCCATCAGGATGGTCAGAAAGCGACAGCCTGCCAGGAGCCAGGGACGGGCTCCGGAACCCAGCTGGCCCGCTTCTGACTGGGGCTGCTCAGAACTGGAACCACAGCCTGATCCAACCCGACCCAACCCAAGCTGCAAAGGGTCACAAGCCCAGGCTACACTCCCACCCCCAGCCCCAGCCAGGCTCCTCCTGGAAGCCTCCCTTAGCTGAAGGGAGGCAGGAGACACCATCAGGGCCACGAACACGGGCCACTTGTTCCCTCGTCCCCCTTCTCGAATTCCCTAAGCCGTGCCCGAAGGTCATGGCCGACCCATGTGTATGGGCAAAGTGCCTGCCGGAGCGTTCGTCAACACCAATCCCTGTCCGCGCACTGGATCCCCCAAATAGACATGCAGCCCAGTGGCCGTCGGAGCCCCGGCAGGGGAGAAGGGGCACCTCAGGCAGCACCAGACCAAGAGCCTGGCGGGTGAGGGTTCCCACAGACAGACTTGTGGGAACTCAGAGGCCCAACTGCCACCCCCAGCCAGGGCAAGGGAAGGAGAGGAGGCTAGCAAGGCCTGTGGCTTCAGGAGCCAAAGGCAGAAAGAAAAGACGCGTTGAGGACAGCTAGCGTGGGAGACGGGGTCCAGGGAAAACGGCCTCCCAGGCGTAGATCCCAAGTCCCACAGCACAGACCGCCCTCCCCCACTAAGAGCAGCCATCGACACAGGGCTCTTTGTCCCGGCCTCCTGATCCCCTTGACCTGGGTGGCTGGGAGCGCCTGAGAGGGAGGAAGGTCCCAGCTGAGGGCTCCTCTGGCTTCTCCGTCCTCACTGGCTGTCAGGGCAGCTCACGTCCTACACAGCCTGGCCTGGCTCTCCTATCCCATGTCCTGGCAAGGCTGGTGCCTTACAGGGTGCCTGGCTCAGAGGTGAGGTCCCCAAGCATGGAGGGGCCGAGGTCCAGCTACTCACACTGAGGAAGGGGAGCGGGATGAGGGCAAGGGGGCAGGGGCTGCAGGGCACCTTGAAATCCGACAGCGAGGCCATCAGCTCGTCCAGCTCCCTGGTGGCAGAGGAGGCCGAGATGCGCGTCTGCTGCTGGCTGGAGGTGACTCGCTGAGGGCTGCTCACCTCAGCCTGGTTCACAGTGATGGCGGGGCTGCAGGGCAGGCAATCGGGTCAAGGTCTCAGCTCCGACCCCGAGGTGGTCCCACTGTCCCTCGCCCTGCTGTCAGCTAGGGACGACTTGGGAGAAGGGAAGGCAGCTTCAGCGGCACCTCTCCCAGGAAGACTCCCTAGCGCTCCCGGCCTGGGTGGAAGCTCGCCTGTGAAGCCAATCCAGGCCGCGTGTCTCCTCCATAGCACGGGACACGTCCGAGCCAACCATGATCACGTGACCATGCTAAGGGCTTGTATCGTGAAACCCTTGCGTGTGCATCACGTGCTGAGCCAGAAACGTTCCGAGCACTTCAGGGGGTTCATCTCGCCCCCGCTGAGGTCGGTGGTCTTAGCCCATTTTCCCGTCTCCCCATCCCATTTTACAGATGGGAAGACAGACGGGCTTGAGCTGACACTTAGGAACCAGCAGAGGGATCTGAACCCTCCGGGGGGCTGCGAAGCCTATGCTTACAGCCTCTAGGCTAAGGAGCCCTCGGTGTGTGCAATGTCCATCTTTTCTTTTCTTCTTTTTATTAATAAACTTAAAAAAGAAAACTTTTTACTTACTATTATTATTCTTCAATTTGACCAGAGAAAGAGAGAGAGAGAGAGAGCGAAAAGTTGCCAGGTCCGGGACTCGAACCACAGTCAGCCATGTGGGAGTCAGTGCCCCAAACACCATGCCACCTTTCATCCCTGGTCTGTCTTTTCTGATGGACAGGGGCTGGTTGAAGGCAGGGGTGGTGTCCACGTGACTCATCACTAGAGCCCCATGCCCAAACACTGGAGCCAGGACTGGCTGGGGTGCACCTTCCCGGGCCGGGGCAGCTGGGTACTCACACGGGGCTAGGCACGGAGCTCTCCAGTTCATCCAGGAGGCTCTCCACGCTGGGCCGCACATCCTCCAAGCCTCGGCCCCCGTTCCGCTTGGGCTTCTCTTTCATCAGGGGCCCGGCTTTGCCCCCCAGGGAGCTATGATTTTCCGGGACGCTGTAGTGGGGGCTCAGGGCCCCAGGCAGAGGGGGGCTCACATTGGCTTCATCTTGCGGACAGGGAGAGAAAGAAGTCGCTCAGACCTTGAGCCCTCCAAGGACCAGCAGGTGGGTCTGGGGGTGCGGACAGGCTCCCGCCCCAGGGACCAAGGTCCTACCTGCAGGGAAGCCTGGGGGGTTATGCTGCACAGCGTTGAGTTCCAGCAGGAGCCGGTCAAGCTCGGAAAGGTTGCTGCCCAGGGAGGAGCTCATGACAGTGGGGGAGGGCTCGGCCGACTTCTGTTTGTTGGGGAAGCTTGGGGAAGCAGAAAAAGGTGACAGTGAGGGGTGCTCCCCTGACTCAGACTGGCTCAACAGCCCCCAAACTCTCAAGAATAGGCAGGTGGGATACAGCGAGAGGACACAGTCGAGCAGGGATGTGGTCAGAAGAGGGGAGGAAGGAAGTCTTGCTTCAGTTCCTCCACCCCACGAGATGCTCTGACAGCCCGGCCACTGCAAGCAGTTGGCAGCGATAAGGCAGCGGCAGGTCGGGAGGCCCAAGAGTTGGCCAGAGCCTCAGTGCGGCCACCATCATGCATGGGACAGGTGGGGCTGTCATAGCACATGTGAGCCTTCTGCATTCGAAGCCAAAGACCCTGGAGGCCAAGCCCCCTGAGGGCTGGCTGCCCTGCCTGTCCTGGGCCTCATCTGCCTCCAGCTACGGGAGGTCCCGGGACTTGCGTGTGGGCAGGGAGGTGCCCCAGGAGGGTAGAGCTGGCACTGGTACCTGTAGACGTGCTCCTCCTCGCCTGCTCGGGAACTGGACGAGCCGACACTGTCCTGGGGGTTGGAGGCACTGGAGGCTTTGGCACTGGAGCCATACGCAGGGGACGGGGACGAGGATGGGGACGGAGGCTGCAGGAAGGAGAGTGCTCAGAGGCCACCCTCGAGGGCCCGAGTCACCCTCCAGGAGACTCCTGCTCACACCCGTCATCCCCAGGGAATTTCCAGAGTCTAGCAGAAGGCCGTGATTAACACTTGGTCACTGTCTCATGTGGTAGGAGGGGACAGCACTGTCTGCTTCTGGGAGAGCCGATTCCCCTAGCTTACCCCACACGGGACCCCAAGTCCCTGCTAGATAAGCTCCTCTGGCCCCTAGACCTTGGGGCTTCCGTCCTGTCCCCGCCTTACCTGCTGGTGAATGAATCGGGAGCCACTGGGCTGCCACTGGTCTAGGGGGTCAAGGATGGTGCCATTGAGGGCTTCGCTGGACGGGGGCGGAGGGACAGGGGGCGGCACGGCGATCTCTTGGTACGTGTGGTTTCCAGTTGGGTATGAGTAGGGGGTCTCCTCAGACAGGAACACGGGCCGTTTGGAGATGTGGGAGGTGGTGGACTCCAAATCTGCCAGGAGAGCGTCTGCAATGAGAAGGTGGAAGACGGTGAGGCTCTGGCACCCGGGGGCCCTCCGCGGCAGTGCTTCCCTGCTGCACCTCAAGAGTTAATGCCTCTCAGCACCTGCCCCACCCATAGGAGAAATCACCAGCCTCGGGACAGGACGGGAAGCTCCTGGCCCAGAGCAGCCTGGCCATGACCCAGCTCCCTACACTCACCCCGTCCCCACGGCCCGTGACGAAGGTGCCCGGAGGCTCGCTCTTGGGGTTGCCCCCTGGGCCCCGCCGACCTCCGGAGCCGGACACCTGGCTCTGCAGTCCCTCCTCACACGCCCGTGTGGCTGGCCGGCTGGGAGTGAGAAACGCCTGCCTGGAGCTCAGCCCTCTGACTCTGACTTGCAGGGAGGGGCCCCACGTCGCAGGGAGGGGCCCCACGTCACAGGGAGGGGCCCAGACGGTGCCAGGCCCTCACTTAACTTCCAAGAGCTCAGGTTTTCTCAGTCCCCAGACTGGAGGGGGCACCCGAGGTGGTACCGGCTCTGCTGACCACGAAGCAGAGCCCCGAGCTCCGAGCACCTCTTGGGACTCCATGCTCTGGGGAGAGGCACGAGGGGAGGTAAGGGCTGGAATGAGGCTGGGGCACGGGTTCCCCCCTCCCCGGCCATGTGGGGGCAGAATTGCTCTGTTGGCTGTTTCTGTGGAGGCCTGGCAAGCAGCCCGGCCCCAGCAGCTCTGGGGCCCCACCACTCTGCTCTCAACAGCAGCCAGGGAGCCAAATCGGCCCTTAAGTGCGAGCTTCCATTACCCTGGCACCCTGCCGCCATGGGGCTGGGGTAGGACTGACCACGCCCCCCCCATACCTCACCATCCTGGGACCCTCCACTGCCCAGCAGCCCAGACAGCCTGGCCCCAGGTGCCACACCTCAGTCCTGCGGTGCTCTCTGGCAGCGCCCTGGGGACCTGCCGGGGGTCAGGCGGTGCTGGATTCCAGCCCTCGGGATAACCACCCACAGGGCAAAGGGGGGCGCTGGGTATTTAGCACATGGGTCTCCGTTTGGAATTCTGGTCCTCCCTTTCAGGATGAGGAAGGTGGGCTTGGAGAGGTGGAGGGACTTGCCCTGTCTCTCACAGTCAGTGAACAACACGACTGACTCCTCAGAAGCCACAAAACCCAAACCCGGCCTGCGGGAGGCTGCAGTGACTGCAAGAGGCCGCGTTAAAAGGGTTCAACTTCCTGAATGTGGGGGACCCGAGCCGTGTAGGCGGGCAGCCTGGCCCTTCCTTCTTGCTGTCCCCAGCGTTGGAACAGGGCTAGGCCCCTGTCCGGGTATGGGTCACACCCTCTCCCAGCTGCCCCGAGGCCAGCCACACCTACCCCAGGGCCCTGCCGGATGGTCAGAAGGGAAGCCCCCAGGTCCTGGTCTCCTGATTTCAGAGGACGGTCAGTGTCTACCCCCTGGGCCCTGTGGAGCAAGCCCGGCTTCCGTTCTAGCCACCCGGAACTAGGAGCTGGTATGTGTCTAGGTAACCACAGAAAAGGAACCAGTGTCCAGAGCCAATCCCAATGGTCCCTCCAGGGCCACACCTGCTGCCTCGGCTTCACACAGCCTCCCTGCTTCCTCTGGGCCCAGTCCCTCCTTGTCCATCATGGGCACAGCCAGCTGACAAAGCCCAGAGGTCCCCCCAACAAGAAGGGCAACCTGGTAGAGACAGCAGGAGCAGCTGCCGTCCCTGAGTGTCTGCTAGGGGCCAGGGCTTCCCTGGTGTCCTCGGCCTTCCTCTTCACAGTGACAGAGGGTGAAGTGGAGGTCCAGACACGGTCACAACCCCGTGCTGTCAGAGCTGGCTGAAGTGACAACGCTGGGCTCTGAACTCAGGTCTCTCAGCTCTGAATACTCAATGGCAGACAAAACATGAAAAGGGCAACCTTGAAGACAAAAGAAAGGGCCGGCCCTGTAGCACAGTGTTTAAGGGCTGTAGAGAAGAAGCTGGATGCCACGTGGCCTGACCAGGGTTTGAGACCCAGCCTACTAGGCTTGAAAAGTGCACCCAGTGTACATGCGCCCAGGATCCTGACAGAATAGAAAGTTGGAAGAAAGTGAATTTTGGCACAACCAGGCCTCCTCAAAGGGTGCTTCTCTCTCCCTTCCCCTCTGCTCCCTTTTCCTCATAAGAGAGAGTAAAGTAATAACATAACATTCAAAGTATAGCACGTGAAGGGACCTGCAGATGGCGTAATGGCTATGTTGCTGGACTCTCCCATGTAGTCGACGGCAGTTCGAGTCCCGGACCTGGTGGCTTAAACTCACGCTGGGAGCATGTGTATGTGTGTGTGTGTACGCGTGCGTGCCCGAGATCCCAAAAGCAGGATGGAGGAGAAGGGATTGCGGTGTGCCCATCCCCCTGGGGGGTGATTTCTCGCTTTATGTCTCTCTGTCTCTCTCTGTCTTTCTGGCGAGTGCACGTGCCCTATAGCAAAAACCTCTCCAAAAAAAAAAAAAAAGAAAGAAAGAAAAGAAAAAAGAAAGAAAGAATAGCACATGAAGGTGTCAGAAAGCACGTTTTCCAGTTTTCTCCGAACTTCTGTCTATCTGAGTGAGAGAGAGGAAGCCCAGCAAGTTCATTCGCAAGCTATGGGGTCTCTGGTGAGGGTGGCTTCTTCCTCTTAGCCCTGCCTAATGGATTTGGACAGGCTTTCATGTCTCTGTTGCCCAAGACACCCCCCCCCCGCAAACTCGCAGAGAAGAGTCAGGAATAGAGGCGGCAGCCAAGGAGGAGACTGGGATTCCTGAGAGTGCAAGCATGTCTCCGAGGTTGCAAAATGGTTAAGGGCCAAAGTCTGCTCGTAAGCTCAGCAAACTCCTCCCCTGGTTTGAATAAACAGAGCTGATGCTGCAGAAGAGTCCCCAACAGGCAGACCTCCATGCTGGTGGGTTCCCCAGTTCTCTGGGGGGAAGGCTAGGAGCCTCATTTCTACCTACATACTCCGAGAAAGGTGCCACCTTCCGCCTTCAGAGAAAAAGGCACAGCCTGGAAGCTCAGGTGCTGGGAAGACTGGGACCAGATTCCTTCTGCCCCGGAAGTGGCCAGGGGCCCTCATTCAAGTAAAGAAAAGCTTCGAACCCTGAGCATTGATCCTCCAAGTCTCTGAGTCCAGACCTGAGATCCTCCTGACCCAAGTCACCCTGCAGGAGGAAGCTCTCCCATGGGGCTTCCCAACCTGTTTTTAGAGGAAACCACTCTGGGCTCTGCAGACTTTCTGCCTGTCCAGGCTGACCCAAGCCACAGAAGAGGGAAAGCTGGCTTCACTGAGATCATGCAAGGGGTATGTGTGAGGGTGGGGAAGGCTGTCTACAGACTGCCTGCATGCTGGGAGCAAAGTCCCCCACCTGCCAGGGGCAAAGGCCACGGTGTGGAGCTACGCCCTGGAGAGGAAGGGGTGCAGATGACGCGCCGAACCCACCAGAGGGCGCCATTGGCCTGTCATTTCCTGCCACTGGGAGTACCCAAAGGTAACCTTGTACCACCAGTTTTCTCGCCGGGAAGACCGGGAGCCTCTGACCATGGGCGCGGTGGAGTTTCAATCCCGAGAAAACTCAGTCGGTCTAAATGAGCAGGCAATGAGGAGGAGGGCGGGATGGTCCGGCCGCCCAGCCCTTGTCTAGAACACACTATCTTCTGAAGGTGCCAACCAGCGATGACACACAGTCTGCAGGACCCCAGCGTCCCTGAGGGACACACACCTTCACTTCCAGTCCCCTCTCTGCAAATGCAATGCCATGACACCTGTCTCCAGCCCCCGGGCTGTGCCTGGACTAAGCAAAATCTCAGGGCAGCAGCGGCTTGAGGTCAGGAGCCCGTCCAGGACAAGGTAGGTGGCTATGGGCACCACGCATGGGCTCTCCAGGTTCCAGTGACTGACAGCATGGGGGGTGAGAGTCTCTGAACCTCTGAACTGCAGATCCGAAGGGGTTAAGATGCAGACCCGGCAGTGCCCCAGAGGGAGGGGACAGAGGGGCCGGTCTGCCTGCATTCCAGGGCAAAGGCTGATTGTGCCCCTCACATTCTCAGAAAAGCCCAGGGGCACAGAGCTGAGGCTGGGGTCCTAGCAGTCCCCAGCTGAGGGGGATAGCCACCTGGAACTCTGGGGGCCTAAGCTGACCAGTGACACGTGGCACAACAGTTCAGTTACGCAGAATTCAGGGAACCCAGCCCCACCCCATGGAGCATGGAGACAGGTCAGTGCTCTTTCACAAGCCTGGCTCCTTCCTCCCCTCCAACACCTCCCTCCCCCAGCTTAGAGATAAAGACTGTCAAGACAGGCCTGGAGCTGGACCGGCGCCAAGGGAGATGAGATAAAGGCCCATCCAGGATGACTCCAGAACGTGGGGGGTGGATGACCCGGCATCTTTGCATTCTCTCCTCTTAGGATGCTGGACATTACGACTTGCACAGATGGTTCTGGGTTTCGCACACCCTGCTCAGTGGCCAATCCCTTGACAGGCTGCTCTTATGCCTCAGCTTCCTTGCCCACCCACCACCCAATGGGAATTCCACCATGTTACTCACGAGACTGATGGAGGAAGCAGACACCAAGCGCTCACCTAGCTTCTAAGACAGTGCACAGTGTGTGTGTTGGGGGGGAGTCGCTAAGAGACAGGAGCTCCCTCTAGAGAGGGGTGGAGCCCAGGGGGAGGAGGGGAGAGGAGTCCAGAAAGCAGCCCCACTCATCCCCACCCTGAGGGCAAAGGATGCTACAACCAAGTCCTGGGCCAAGGAATGGGCGCCATTCTGGCAGAAAACGAAGCCCTGAGAAGCTTCTGCCCCCTAGGCCTCCAGCTCCAAACCCACAGGCTGGGCCAGGTAAATGTGGGCACCGACCCTGCCTTCTCAGCCCCTCCTGGAGTTTCCAGGCTGCCCCAATGCCTGGGCCTCCCGCCACCATGCCCGCCCTTCCACTTTAGGTTATTTTATTCAGCAGCCACAGGCGGAACTGGAAGAGGTCTGGTCCATCAGGCCCCAACTCCACAGGCTTGGGTTTGTTTTGTTTTGTTAAGGTTTTTGCCATAAGGTGCCTGCCCTTGCTGGAGGCAGACAGAGACAGAGGGAAAGTGAGAACCCCACCCCCACCCCCCCAGGGATGGCCATGCCACAATGCCTTCTCTTCTATTCTCCTCTTGGGATTCTGGACACACATGCACATGTGCCTGGTGCGATTCTCAAGCCACTGGGTCCAGGACTCGAGCCACGGTTGGCCATGTGGGAGTCCAGAGCCTTAACCATCATGCCACCTGCTGGCCCCTGCATGCTTTGTATTTTTTTTTTTTTTTGGTAGAGGTTTTTGCTATAGGGCACGTGCGCTTGCCAGACAGACAGAGACAGAAAGACAGAAAGCGAGAAATCACCCCTGGGGGGGATGGCCACACTGCAAACCCGTCTCCTCCGTTCTCCCTCGGGATCTTGGGCACGCACGCACATGTGCCTGGCATGAGTTTTAAGCCATTGGGTCCGGGGACGCGAACCGCGGTCGACTACATGGGAGTCTAGCGACATAGCCATTACGCTAACTGCTGGTCCTCATGCTTTGTATTTTTGAGGCCTGGCCTGGGAGAAGCCCATGGGAAGCAAGGTATTTCTTTTTCTTTTTTTTTTTTAAAGAAATATTTTTTATTTTAACTTTATTTATTATTGTTATTATTTTCCAGTTTGATCAGAGACAGACAGAGAGAGAGAGAGAGAGGGAAAGTGAGAAAGGAAGCTACCAGGTCCAGGACTTGAACAACAGTTGGCCATGTGGGAGTACAGCACCTTTAACCACCATGCCACTTGCCGGCCCCGATATTTCCTTTTTGTAAAAAGTTTGCCACAGGGCACATACGCTCCAGAGAGCAAGAGAGTGAGAAAGTACCTCCCATGGGGAACAGTCACAATGTACCCCCTACTCTCCCTCCTTTGGGGATCTTCAGCACATACGCACAAGCACCCAGTGTGTTTCTCAAGCCACTGGGTCCAGAACTCAAATTGCGGGGTAGGCCATGTGGGATTCAAATCATGTAATCAAGCCATGGGTTGGTCCCCTTTTTTTTTTAATATTTATTTTTTATTATTATTATTTTTAAATCTTGACCAGACAGAGAAAGGGAAAATGAAAAAGCAGGCCACCAGGTCTGGACTCGAACCACGGTCAGCCAAGTGGGAATTCAGCGCCTTAACCACCATGCCACCTGCCAGCCCCTTTCAAATTTTTTATATTTCTTCTATGAATGAATGAGAGAAACAGCACCCAGCACCCCTGACAGAGGGTCTTGATGCCACGACCCAACCCTGACTTCCACTAGCTAGGGATCATGGGCACACGTGGGCCCTGTGTTCTCGGAGATCTCTAAAGGTGGACCCAGAAGCTTCCCGTGTGGGTGGGCAGCGCATTTTAGCCTGCACCACCGCACCAGCCTGGCTCCGGGCACACCGCCTTTCCTAAGGGCTCCCTCACCCACCGTCTCTCCGCAGACCAGTGTCACTCAGCCTCCATCGCCCCAGGGCGGGGCTGGCACAGCTTCCTCCAGAGCTGACAGGCAGGAGGGAGGTGCGACAATTCCAGCCCTGGAAGCACCGACACAGCAGGAGGGCCTTCCCAGGAGCCTCCCAGCTGCTCGTCCCTGCCACTAAGTCTGAAACCCAGGCTCCCACATTCCAGGCCTGTCTCTCCTGCCGGGCCCAGAACTCGGGGCATGGGAGGTTTCAGCCCCCTATTGAGCATCTGGGCAGCTTTGGTGGCTTCAGTGTCCCAGACGCTGCCCGGCCTCCTTCCAGCTGCCTGAGCTCAGTGATAAACGCAGTGAGCCAGGCTCAGCGCGTCCCAAGGAGGGCACTATGTAAACAGCGGGACCGGCTTGGGGATGGTCTCATCTCGTCCTCTCTGGTGAGATTTCCAGATTAGGAAGGAGAGCAGAGCGGGAGGGCGGGTCTCTCCCCTCCCCTGGCCCCAAGCCCCTACCCCTCCCGCCAGAGCACATGAGCAGTGAGAGCGAGGTAATCTAATCCGCAGCGGGGTGCTTGGGCTCGGTGAGTAACTCCCCAGGAATGGGGAGTGGGTATATTTATCCTGATAACCTCCTCCCGGAGGAAAGACAGGTCCAGTCCTGGGTTAGTCCAGATCCGCTCTGCCCCGACCCAGCAGGGAGCGCCACCGACTAGGAGCTCCATCTCCGGAAGGGACCTTCCCTGCCATGTGGGTTCCTGTCAGCTGTCTCCTCTCCAGGCAGCAGGGGGCAGGGGCCCTCTCTGTCTTGCTCAGTGCCAGATCCCCAGCAGGTGGGACAGGAGGACTGAGAGGGAGGGAGGACGGAGGGCGGGAAGGAGTTGGAGCCGAGAAAACAGCCAGCCATCCTGCTGGATCACATCAGCACAGAACCTCTCTCCTCTACCAGCGGGATGGACAGGAGCAGGTCCGTCCCTGTGCTTGGTAGTGAGCTCTGAGGAGGCCTGAGTCCGATCACGGGCAGACTCGCAGAGCACCTCGGAGCTCTCCTGAGTTTGTCTAGTCCAGCCAACTGCTATTATCTGACTCCCAGACAGGAACTGCTCCCCTCAAGGGGCTGGGTGAGGGAGGATCGATATCGGAGTGTCATTTCAATATTTAATAACCATGCCTGGAGGTTACGAAGACTCAGCCACCCATTCTCCTTCGCTGACTCATCCCTCACTCACCAGGAACTGCCATTTCCGAGTCCTGAAGGAAGTGTGAGCCAGGGGTGACACACGGGAAACCGGGGGAAGGCCTGAGTGTTCCAGCCTGCCACTGGGGGGGGAGGGGGGTGGTCACTGGGGGAAGGCGGCTCTTCCCGGGCTTCCTGTGCAGAAGGGTGGGTAGCTTCCTGTGTGCCGAGGAGCCCCGCCTCGAAGGGGTTGACACCACTTGTGTGCAGACAGGTCGGCTTTCGTTATTGGGTGTCAGACCTGTGCCCAAGGTCACAGGACACAGGTAACCGGAGACTCGGAGACTTGAGAGAATAAAGGCTGAAAGGCAACTCCAGAGGTCACCCTGAGCCCCGGGCAGAGGCCCCACAGTGCCAGGCCCCACCTGCACGGGGACTCACACAGGGCCCACCAATCGTCTGATCCCTCCGGCGGGGTAAGCAACAGCAGCTGAGAGGAGGCAGAGGCCGCCCCGTTCCTCCTGAACACCTCCGTGGGTGAGCCTGGGCTGCCGGAGTGGCAGTCTCTCTCTCTCTCTTTCTTTTTTTTTAAATTATTTTATTTAACGGAATTTATTTATTTATTCATTTATTTTAATTTGACCAGAGAGGGACAGAGTGAGAGAAAGAGAGGAAGTGAGAAGGCAAGCCACCGGGTCCATGACTTGAATGAACCACGGTTGGCCATATGAGAGCTCAGCGTCCCCAACTACCACACCACCTGCTGGCCCGGTGGTCTCTTTCATACCGCGAAGAACTCATCTCTCTAGTCCAGAATCAGCAGGCCCTCCCTCCTCAGAAATCCTGGCCACCACAGATGCACTTCGTGGGTCAGATTTCATCCCTGTCTTTGGGTCACTGACTTTGAACTCTGAACCCTTTTTTTTTTTGGTCAGAGGGTAGGTGCACTTGCAGAGAGACAGCTAGAGGGAGAGGAGAAAGCGCCCCCTATGGGGCATGGTCACACGGCCAGCCCTTCTCCACCTCTCCCTCACATATGCACACATACCTCGAGCTGCCGGGCCTGGGACTTGAACTACGCTGTCACCCAAGTGGAATCCGGCTGCCCTAACTACCACAGAGCCGGCCACACTCTGAACCTTTTAAGGTCAAGTTTAGGGCCCCACCCACCGCAGGCACCATCCCACAGTTCCTCCGACGACGGGGAAGACACAGCTTCACACACAAAAAGACTGACAGCCTCAAAACTGGGACATGTGTTTCCTGGACGTGCTCTCAGCTGTTGCAAATCTGCTCCCATCCATTTAATGTGCAATCCCGGCTCTTCCAGGCAAGTCGGTTTGTTGCAGAGCAGGGCTGCTCCCTGGGCCTCTCATCCCTGCTAATAGCCAACAGAGGTTAGGAGGGGCTCAGCAGTGAGTCATCTGCCCCGCAGAGACCCGAACGAGAAGTTCAAAAGTTTGCCTGTTCCTGGGATGAGCTGTAGTCTTCTCGTGATGTTTGTGAAGGTCATAGCACTAGTTGGCCACTCTGGGCTAGTCAAGTTCTTTTTTTTTTAAAGTTTCTTTCTTTCTACAATTTATTTTTTAATTCATGAGGGGCAGCAATGTACACGCATGTGCCAGAGAATCACTTGGCTAAGCTCCCCTTCCCCACCTGTCAAGCTCAACAGGATTAGGGGTACACACATCTCCCTGACATGTTTTCAGATCGACCTGGGATCTGAATCCACAGCCAGCCATGCGGTTTCCAGTACAAGTCAGCCCGCTACAGGGTGTGCGGCGGAGGCAGGACAGAGAGAGAGAGAGACAGACTGACAGAGACAGTACCCCCACAGGGCCCCCACACCACGATCCACCCTCGGCTTCAGCCAGCCCCAGATTGTGGGCACATATGTGCACCTGGTGTTTTCAGGAGTCTCCAGGTGCAGGAACCAGCAGTCAGCGTAATGGCTATGTCGCTGGACTCCCACGTAGTCGACTGCGGTTTGAGTCCAGGACCCGGTGGCTTAGAACTCAGCCGGGTGCGTGTGCGTGTGTGCCCAAGATCCCGAGAGGAGAATGGAGGAGAAGGGATTGTGGCGTGACCATCCCCCCTGGGGGGTGATTTCTCGCTTTCTGTCTTTATGTCTCTCTCTGTCTGTCTGGCGAGCGCAAACGCCCTATAGCGAAAACCTCTCCAAAAAAAAAAAAAAAAGGAGTCTCCAGGTGTGAACCTAGAACCTACGTGGGTCAGCCATGGAGAGCACTGCGTGACCACCATGCCAGCACTGGGCCCCCAAGCTAAGTTCCAATTAATGAACACAGCCAAAGACGACCACGGAACAGGCCAGTGCTTCCCTTCCCTTGGGCAGATGGGGTCACTTCCTGAACCAGCTCTCCCTCGCCCGATTTTCTGGTTCTCCTTCCTAAAGGACCCACAACCGCTCAGGCCCTCTCCCAGCGGTGGAGTCCTGTCGACTCTTCCTGCCCAGAGCCTCTCTCCGTCATTACTCGCCTCCCCTTCTTTTCACCCCTTGTTTCCAACAACTCGGCCCGGCAGCCAAACGCATGCTCAGTCCCTCTCAACGCGCTCACAGTGCCCGGCTCTGGGTGTGCTCCCAACTCAACCCTTCTCACAGACACCTTTGGAACCTCCTCCTTTTTATTTTTACTTGTTTATTTATTTTAATTTGCTGTAGGGCAAGTACAATCACTGGAGAGACACGGGGAGCGAGAACATGAGAAAGCACCCCACAGAGGGGATGGCCACACCTCAATCCCTTCTCCTCCATTCACCTCTTGAGGTATTTTGGGTATGCACGTACACAAGGCAGGCGTGTTTTTTTCTTTCTTTCTTTTTTAAAAAGAATTATTTTATTTAACTTTATTTATTTATTTTTAATTTGACCAGAGAGGGACAAAGCAAGAGAAAAAAGTGAGGAAGCAAGCCACCAGGTCCAGGACTTGAACTGTGGTCAGCCATGTGGGAGTCCAGTGCCCTTAACCACCACACTAGCTGCTGGCCCCAACCAGGTGTGTTTCTCAAGCCACCAGGTCCAGGCCTCGAACCATGCAGTCGGCCATGTAGGATCCAGCTGCCTTAACCACCATGCCACCAGCTGGTCCTGGAATGCCCCCTTTTTGTGTGTGCACCTGACACTTCACTATGGTTTCTCCTACTAGGCTGCAGACTTTCTGCAGGCAGGAACCTTTTTTTTGGATCCCCACAGCATGGACACCCTTACAGGCCTCTGATAGAACTCCTGAGATTGGCCTCGAGGTCCCAAGCCTCAGAACATGGCCCCAAATGACCTTCACGACCTCGCTGGGTCCTCACTGCAACCCTCCTCTCTAGACAAGTTGGGCTCCCCCTTCTCTTCCCAGCTCCCCTCACAATACCAAGTGTGCTCTTCACCACCATCTTTCACCTCGCTCCAGCCTCGCACTCTGGGATGTCCATCCCTCAGGGGACAGACGGAGGCTAAGGGCAGAGGAAGTCACCCCAGGATGGACCTGGAGCACTTTCTGAGGATCAGATCAATTTGGGAGGAAGAAATTTACATGACGGGCTACATGATGGAGGCAAAAGCAAAATGCAAGTGAAACTGTGAGAAAAAGAGAGGCTTCGAGCCCGGCTGTGGTGGCGCAAGTGTGCAATCTGGGACTCGCATGGGAGACCAGGTCGACCTGAACACTCCAAGTGCAGGCGTGTGCACTGTGACCCTGGCTGGCTGGGACACTAGGGGAAAGATGGCGGCCGAGTGAGACCCTGTCGAGGATGCCTGTCTCTCTCTTCTGTATCCCATGAAAGGAAGAAATTTTAAAAGTAATAATAATATTTATGAATAAATAAAATAAATAATTATATTTAAAAAATAATAATAATAATTAATGAATAAATAAATAAAAGGATGGCCCAGAAGCATGCTGGACTGTGAAGCTGGAGGACAGAGACCAGTTGCAGTTTAGGTCTCCAGCCGGGTTGGCCTAAAAACATACTGGACACGCATGTGCACATCCAAGATCCTGGTGGATGGGAGGCCTGGACCGAGCCCTGTGGAGAGTATGCCCCCTTCTCTAAGTGTACACACATGCTCAACCATAAATGTAAAAATAGATTAATAAAATGTAAAAAGAGAGAGTCTTCAAAGAGACTTTTGCACTTGGGGACTTTCATAGATAATTTTTTTTTTTTAGAGTAAGAGTCTTACTATGTAGCCCAGGTTGGCCTTGAACTCACAGTCCTCTTGCCTCGGTTTCCCAAATAGCTGGGATTGAAGGTGCACACCACCATACCCGGCTCGATGAACAATTTTTGTTTTTTAGAGAGATTTTTGCTATACGGTGCCAAAGAGACAGAAAGAGAGAAATCACCACCCCCAGGGAGGATGGCCATGCTGCAATCCCTTCTCCATTCTCCTCTTGGAATTTTGGGCATGTGCCCGGCATGCGTTTTAAGCCACTGGCTCTGGGACTTAAACTGTGGTTGATTATATGGGAGTCCAGCAATGTAACCATTACACCACCTGCTGGTCCTTTCAGTGGACATTTTAAGGGGCACCATGAAGCCCTCACTGTCTACACATAAGGCCACCCCATCCATACCTCAGATGTGTCTACACAGGTGACTTCGGGAGCTGGGACGGTCACACAGGCCTTTGTACACCCTCGTGGCACCCCGTACCACATGACAGTGTGGTAGAGTGGGAAGAACGGGCCTCTAATAGCAAAGTGGGTGGGTTTCCATCCACCACTCCGCAGCCTGGTGACAGTTCACTAGATGATTCTGGGTTTCTGTGGACTCTAACATCGCCTAGGGCATATGGCGAGTAATGGATGAAGTAGCCAAAGCCACTGCAGCGGCTGGGGAACCAGTGTCCCGGCTCTGACAGAGGAGACACTCAGTAAATACATCTACATCATCGTTTTCATCTCCCGTAAGGGCGGGAGGGGGAGGAGCTGGAGCCAGGGACTGCAGCCAGGGATCAGCCGGGGATCCCTGGAGCGGTGACAGGTCGTCACTAACTCAGCCTTCTTGCCGAGCAAACCACTGACCTCACCCCTCTGTGCCTCGGGTTCATTCCAAGTCCTCCTTGGAGAACGGGCAGGCGAGCCCAGCTCACTCACTGCGTGCAAGGACAGAGGGAGAGA